GGGGGGGGGGGGGTTAATGGGGAGTTCAAAGTAACAGACGATAAAAAATGAAAAGCCTTTCAGGGCCTCAGTCCAACTTTGTGCATATGTTTCTCCATTGAAAAGAATAAGGTGAGTTTGAAAATTTCGTTGCAATCCTGGTTTAATAATGCAATTATTTTTTCTCCATGAAAGAAGTAATTCTCCTGTGGATCTAGGGATTTATTCATGTTGAGAGAGGAAATTTGCAGGTTAAAGAGATGTAGTTTGTTGAGAATTTTGATGGGAAATGAAAAATTAATGCTTGAATTTTGGCGAAAGTGGGTAATTATTCTCTATCATAAAGTCTGTAATTCTGGGCTCGTTTGAATTTTAAGGGATGTTGTATACTTGTGCGGATGGGAATGGGGGAATTATTTTTTTTAATCATAATTTGAAAACGTGTGAAGAGGAAATTGCAATTTCGATGGAGATATTGGTGTTTGCGCTGGATGAAATTGAATTCTATTTGACACAGCTCTCGAATTTGTCAACGCGTTTTTTGCTTTGAAAGTTCTTCAATCCTACTTTCCATTTGTCATGAGAAAAAAAATATCGAGATTGAGTTGCTTTATTCGTCTTTTTTCCCACATCTCCATCAAAATTCTTTCTCCACTTTTTTTCTCACTTTGAAACTAAAAACAGGGTTAAAGACGTAAAGTGGCTAAAAGTTACGTGGAAAAGTCACGTGTGTGTATATACGTTTAACAACTTCACTGAACCGGAATGAACTGTGGGAAGACTACAAGCCCTCAAGTTTAAATAAAATTCTTCTATCCGTTTGGTTGGTAAAAGCAATGCGAAATGTGACACAGAGCATCCATTTGGTCGAGTCTCAGCGGATAGATGCCGTGGGGCGTTGAAAATGCATTGGATTTACCTCGTTATCGCCAGTATAAAATAAATAGAAATAGAGAGAGCCTAAATAACGGAGTGGAAAGGAGAGGGAAATAAATGGGGTGAAACATTATTGCATAAAAATTCCAAAGGGAAGATAAAAGGATTTTTTCAGACCTGTTCATTCATGGAAAATGCCAAGCTATGAAATTTAATGGAAATCAATGAGAATAACAAGCAATATCGATGAATGACTCGAGAGATGGAGTGAAAAATTTGACATTTCGAGGTGAAATTTTCCGGAAAACTTGTAATTTTGACCAAATTTACTTCATTTTCTCAAATAAATTTATCTAGAGATGTCTTCCTGTCATTTTTTTCCAGAGAAAAACGAATTTTTAATGAGAGATATTCATTAGATACAGAGATATTCACAGAAGTAAATTCATCCTGTTCCCACCACGGAATTAAATATTTCAAAATGAAAAATGATTAATGTCTATGCAGCCCTGAAAAGAATCACTCCACCCGAATAAACCCAAATAAATGTTGTAACCACGAGCGAAAACATTGAAATAGTGGATCGTCACGCAGATTAAACCCAAAAATGTTCCACAAAAGAATTAAAAAAATGAAAAATACTGGATGGGAATCCCAGCGCACCGACATGCACCAAATGCCATGAATTGACTATTCTGTCCAGGTTTTGCCATTCCCAGTTGTAATAAACGTGGATGGAAAGCGTGAGAGGAGAATTTTCGCCAGTTCGATCGCATCGACAATGTCCCCACCGTTGATTCTGCCCACTGATAACCCTTATTATCCCGCGAGGCCACAGCTGGAGATTTTCCACTGCAGCAGAGTACGTGAAAAGAGTCCATATCCCCCATTATGAAATGTCTGTGTGCAAGTGCAATGCGACCTGGAGGAACCGAGCCCATTGCAGTTGGAAGAATCCACGCGGCATACTGTTTTGTCCCTCGTTCTCCCTCGAGGATTTCCCGCGCTTCTGTCCGGTCTCTTCATTCTTTTTTGGTTTGCAACTGCTGGAGGCCGTAAACCCTTTGTTTTAGGTCTGATATTCTTCGTTAACGGTTGTTTTGGGGTGAATGCAGGGGAAACAAGAGTGCCGATTTTTCAGTAGATATTTTGGGGAGGTGTTTGCAAAAGGAATGAAAACTGATTTGTGTGCGAAAAAATCAAGAGAAAAAAATTTAAATTTCAGGAATAGTTCAGCAGTGACTTCCAGGAGAACGACGTTGGTGTCTATTTGGGGGAAAAATCGTAGAATTGTAAATTTCCCAAAAAATTTAACGGAAAATTTGAGAAAATGCGAGTTTTCGCTGCCAAATTATTAGGTATCCTCCAGATTTCCATCAATTGTTGTGGAATAATTGAACTTAAATTTACAGATTTCCTGGATTTTTCAAAATTAAATTGTGAATTTTCAATTGGGAAATTCCAAAGAGTTCACCGGAAATTTCGGTTATATATTTTTTAATAGTGGGCGCCAATGAAGGATTATTCTTCCGATTTGATGTTTTTCGTGGAGTTTCATGAGACTTTAACGCTCAATCAAATTTGATATTTTAATTTCCAATCTACTTAAAATTCAATTCAATGTGAGTGAGTTTCGTGCATGTCGTTGAATATTTGATATAGAATTCAAAAGGAAAATGTAAAGACACAATTTCTGATGATTTTCCCCATTTCCTCTAAAATTACTCATCTTCGAAATAAGTAAACAATTAATAAAAAATTCTAATTTTGCCTTTTCACAAAAGAATTCTTGAAATTATTTGTTACTTCAAATAAACTATACGTTTATGTATAAACGGCCATTCAAAAATGTCGCTTCACGGAAAAATTTCTCAAAATTATTTCCCGGATTGATAACACATCTTCCATTCTGTGAATGGAAATTCAAACAAAGAGTGGAAAAAAATAAAATGAAATGACTGAGAAGCGTCAAGAGTGAGCGTGGAAATGTCAGTCATTTGAATATCATAAACAACAAGTATACAAAACCCCTGGGATTTTATTCACGAGATGCAAATTATGAAAATCCATTTTGTGCTTTCTTTCACAGTAAAAAATGGTGAAAAAGGAATGGAAACCCGGGGAATATCCGTTTTGCTGTTCACTCGACATTGAACAGGATATATAGGTCGAGGTGATGGGTGTTTTGGTTTGACTGATACCTCGTCTGTGGACATACATTCTGGTCGCGTAGTCAAGGGCTCCAATAAAGGCAGTACGCACGTGTAATACAGGAGTGAAGCACCCACGTGGCGATGGGAGCATAGAGTTGACTCTGGGGATCGATAGGTGCGTGAATTTTATGTTACAATAGTTATTATGGCTCAGGGCAGCTGTGTCCAGTGTTGAGTGGGTGCTTCGGAGCGGAAACGAGAACTGTAAGGTCACAGGGGATGTGCTGGGGGTATTGTATGGGTAAATTTTCAAGTATCGAATTTCGATATTCCGGGGGCTGACGAACTTTAATAAACATTAGGTGGCTCTCGGGGGGGTACTTCGGCAATCGTACGGCCGCTGACACGACAATCATCGTTGGTTTTTCGAAAGTCGGATATGAACGCGATACATTGAGAGAAAAACGAACGAGTTCTCAAACAAGTCTTGTTTAGACTGACAAAATAAATTGTTTGATTTCAATTTGAATGTCTCAAACATAAATAATCGCTGTTTTCAACAAGATCGAGATGTTAATATAAATTCACAGGTTAATTCATCTGAAGACAATCTTCAAATGGTCAGCATCAATTTTTTTTTGTGTTGAAATAAATAATAAAATGAATGGGAAATGTTCATGTGAGGTATTCACATACGCCTAGCAAAATTTACGGTTGTTCATTGTGATTTAAGTTACATTCCGAAAAAATTTCTCAGCGTGGCACAGCAATTGTTACAGGGAAACAAAGTGAAAGAATGAGCGCGTTATTACGAAGCTATTACATATCTTGGTCATGCGTAAATTTTCTGTGAATTTCGTCATCAGCAGGAAAGCTCTCTCAACTTAATTTTCATCCCCAGCCTTCAATTTTCCGGAATGATATTTAGTGTTGAAAAAATTAGGCTGGAATTTCCGGTATACCTCTTGGGGATTTTTATCAGTGACGGTTCCATTGAAATTTCAGTTCAATTATTCCTTGAAAATAGGAGCCAGGAAAACTCGGGTGATTATAATCTTGAATATTCAAGATTTTATTCAAAATTAAAAGAATTTGGGGAATTCTCGTCCTGAGGAAAAATCCCATGATTTTTTCCTTCCTAAATTAACTTAAATATCTTTTCTCTCCTAAAAAAAGTAATTTTTGCTTTTTTTTCTCGGAGTGTCTGCGTCCCTTTCCCTACCGCAAAGATCTTGTTTAAAAAATCATCTTATGAGAATGAAAACAAGAATTTTCTTCCTACAATCACCAAATAATTGTAAATGCCAAGTAAGTCACTCCATAAATAATATTACCCATCAAACTAAATATATATCCCCGTTCCTACTACCCTTACTCGTTCGCCGGAATAGAGTAATAAATTTTTCAAAAAATTTTTTCCTCCCTATGCCATGCATAACAAGCACATAACCGTATCGGAAAACGCGATAGGCCGACATGCAATTGAGCCTCACGCTCGCTACTCGCCGAACAAGCACCGGGAATCATAAAATTTTCACGATCCCACGCAGTATTGCATATTTAAAAAAATAAAGAGAAAAGTGAACTGTAAGGGGTGGCAAATAAGCCCGAAGGAAAAAGTGGAAAAAAATCACGGGAGAAAATAATTGAGAGAAATGTTAACAACGGTATATAGCCCACGATACCAAATCCATTCAAGATATGCCGCGAGCGCTTGAGGAATGATTTAGTTTCGAGAAAAGAGCCTTCATTACTTTCCCCATACCCTCGTCCATTATTTCCCCTTCAATTTTATTCCGTCAAGAGCGCCGGGAGAGAGAGAGGGGGAGGGGGTAAGAGTGACACGAGTCAACGGACAACATTAAACATTCAGATTTTCATTAAGGCAAGCAAACCGCCGTCACGACCTTTTCAGGCGGCCGTTTCCCTTGAGAATTTTTTTACAATTTTTGAGAGAGTATTCCTTTTTCTCCGTTCGTTTATGGAAATTGGGGAGAGCTAAATTGCAGAATTATTGACAAGTGTCTGACTCTACCTGACAACTACCTGAGAACCAGGTTTGGAAGGGCTAGTGCCAAGCGGAGATGAGATTATATTTTTTCATTAATTTATTCGTTTAAAAATTGCCCGGCAGAGTTTTCTGGAGTATTTTACAATGTTAATGATCGACAATTGATGCAAATTCAATGAAGATGTTGAAACATTCAGATTTTCTAAAAATTTTCATTATTGTTAGAGAATTAATCCTGAAATTTTACATTTTACCTCATTTACATCAAATTTCCATATGTGGTGTTACTGACAATTATCAATATGACAATTAATTTACTAAAATATTTGCTTTCAAAGATGAATAGAAAATTCGATCCACAATTTACCTTCCCCGAAGCCCCTGTCATTGCTCAATTGCATTCGTTATTAAATATAAGACTGAGTTTCTGCTTGCGGAAGAAATTTGAATCGACGAGTTCCACAAACACTCGCAGAGCCAATTCTCGGGAATTGTTTTGAGATAACTCACTGATTCAAAGGTTCAAGAAAAATATAAGCCCTGTTTACCTTCGCATTTGCGGTAGCACCAGCTGGGAAGTGCTCTTGCAAGCTTCGACACAGTTTCTCCGGAGTTTTCGTACACGTTCACGCAACTCGGGACCATCTCTCGTCTGTCCAATGTTGATCAGAAGGTCCCGAAATTGCGCCACTTGACTGTTGATCTCCTGTATCTGCTGTAACACAAAACAATCCATCCGCGCTTCGGTTACAACAAGGTCACTTGGATACTTAATGCTTTGAAATTCAATGCCCGTTAATTACTAACTATAAGTCCCTGATTAATCAACTACATTCGTATTATATTCAGTGGAACTAATGGCACACAAACATTCGTTTCTGTTCGATTGGGGACTTTTACGCTCGATAAATCTTCAACAATTGCACATTCTTCGTAATTAATCCAATAGTCAATTAGATAATTCAATTTTAAAAGCTTATTACTTATCTCATTTTCTCGAGAATGAGTCTGTTCAGAACCAAAGGTCGGGTCGCAGATTTTCTGCGAACGCGGAGATAAATTTTTTTTTTAATTAAATTTTTTTCATTTTTTTAAAATTTTAATAATGAAGATAATAATTACGTTACAAAAATTACGTTATTTCAAGTGAAAACCAACTAGAGATTCCTATTTGTTTCATAATATGAAAAAAATCCCTTCAATTTTAAGCACAATGTCAGTTTTTTTAATGAAGAATTTGTTAAAAATTACACTTAAATTCTAGCAATCTTGTAGCGTATTTATTTCTCAGGAATTTTTATCAGAAGTCTAGTGAAAAATTTAATCACTTCAATATTAATTATGGTATTTGAACAGGAACTTCAGGAATTTCATTTAATCGAAAATTCTAACATTGTGATTAACAATATAAAATTAACAAAAATCGTAATTAGAGAATTACCGGAATTTTTATAAAAAAATCGTGAATAGTATTTTCTATTTACCATAAACAGTGATTCGTAAAGGTTGTACATGGCCTCGCAGACTCATAAATAACGAGAAATAAATTTAAACGCGTGAATTGACCTCTCCCAAAATTTTCTACAACTTTTACCACAATACAGGGATAATTTTCAACACTATTTATAGCGCGAATTCCTCGAAAATTGCAAATTGCACCGATAAAAAAAGCGTACTTTCCCACCTGGTGCATTGAACCCAATGAAATTTCAATGATTTCAATGATTTTTTTTTTCTGCACGCTGAAAAAAAAAATTTTTTTAGAAGTACGTCTCCACTTGCATCAAGAAACTCGCGACTCAAAAATTAACGGGAAGAAAATATCTGAAACCCACAAGAAAAAACGTTCGTCACGAGATTTTGTGCTCGTCCCAAAGACGACGTGTTTATAACAAGAAAGTAACTTCTCCCACTAAACCTAGTTGAATAAATATATTCCAGTTTTTTATTCTCGATCAAATCCAAAATACATTAATACAAAAACAAATTGCCCGCATCTTCCGGACACCTACAGAATCTCTTGACGAGATTATTCTTCTTATCGTAAGAGTTGCTCTCGATACAAGTGGAGCCGTACTTCTAAAAAAAAATTCTTGGCGCAAGTTAGTGTTGCAAATACTCCAGCAACAAATTTTCAACGGAAAAATCGAATTTACCAATCCAATAGATTTGTCATCGTGTACTCTGCTGGTTGAGGGTGTCGGGGACTGCGTCATTATCCTTCACTGTTCTCAATACCCCTCCCCGAGGCATATGAACCAGAGATAGGTACAACAATTGAAGAGCATATTATCTCGGCGCGTGCCGTCGTAACACATCATCCCACAGTACCCGAGTCCGATACTCGTGCATGGACAATACAGTCACTGGTACGTCATCGGCATTAATAGAACCAATTGCTTGTGCAATTAGTATCAATTCACGTAATTCACATCTCATTGCACGAGAGTGGGGGAGGCGAATAATCCTACAAAGGAGGGAGAGTGCCACTCAAGCTCGAGCCATCACTAGCAGCTCCCGGCGTTGGCATTACGGTTGCAACTAGTTATTACTATTATAACCACTGAATATACGGTAATTAAACGAACGCTTTCACCTGCTGCATCAGCATTAACTCACGATTAACACAGGCATACGCGCGAATGACGTTTATCAACCCGCCCCCAAATTAATGACTGAAAGTTTTCCTGACATTTGCCAAGGACTCTACCCCGGATTTACACTCCACGAACGATTGTTCCTCATATTAAATTCCCTATTCCATCTCAATCCCCCACCCAACTCTTGTCTCCGACACTTTGGATTTTAATCAAACTCCCGAGTGTCTCCTTCAGAGAGACTCGTTACCCGTTCCATTTTCAAACAACTTGTCAAAGTTGGGATTAAACGAGAACAGGAAGATTAATTCATTTTAAATTAAATTGGAGGTACTACCGGGCTTTTAGATTAGTTGTCATTCTGGATTGATGAAGAATAATTGGGATGTTACGGGGGCTTTTCCCTGTCGGCGGGGGATTTCCTTTGATGACTCTCTCCTTTGGCGATCGCCCGCACCGCGTGGATTCGCAAGACTAAATGTCGGGAAACGCGCGCGTAACACCGGGCTTGGATCATGGGACCATTCGTCGCTCATTTGGACCTGCGCGCGGGGCTGACGCGTGCGAGTCCTGTACTACTGGGCCATTTCGAATGAGTTTTTCGGGTATTTTGAAGGAGTTGGGGGTGAATAATACAGAGTCGTGTTGTAGTTTTACTGGGGGAGAATGAGATTGGAGGGGATTTTTCGAGATCCTGCCGCTGATTTACTTTGAAATAATTTATATTGTTAAAATCCTCGTGAAATTGTTTCTGCGAATATCATTTTCATTAGATTGTATTTATTCTGTGACAGTAATAGACGGATCAATGACATTTGAATTAATCGAACTGGATTAATTTTGTTCCTAGCTTTAGTAATAAGGAATTAATTTATAGAAATTCATCAAGTGATTGATTTTATTTTCGTAAAAAAATCAATCACGTAAAAATTAATTGATCTCATCAATTTTTAGTAAATGTCACACGAAATGATAATTTCAATTTTATAAAGAAATGAAATTCATTGAATGGCATTTTCACTCCCTTGCATTAATTTTATTTGAAGCATATTTTTGCTTAACAGTACTAAATAACTTTTATTCAAGGTCCGAGAAAACGAAGTTTTCATTGTTCGGCGAATAAACTTTCTGAATCCAAAGGAGAAGATAAATCTTCACAACTCCATCTCAACTTTTCTTCTACGGGAATGGCTCATAATGAATTCGATTCATGTTGGGGTTTTGATATAGTTGATTCGGGATATTGTTAAGGAGTTGGGAATGAGTGATATACAGTGCTGGAGTGGTTCCGCCAGGGGGGATCAAGATCTCTAATCCCAGTTGAAGGGAAACCTGTTGGTTGATATATTTCGGCATAACTCATTCTACAAATCCTTGTGAAAATGATTTTGGGAAATGAAGACAATCTTTCTTCGAATACTATCACTCTTACTCGATTATATTTGAGCCCTGACCGGGCAATGTGTTCTCGTTTATTTATTCATTCCGAAGTTTTCATTGCGGAATGAATAAACTTTCAGATTCCGAAGGGCATGAGTGATTACCACTCCTTAATATCACCTCAACTTTTTCTTTATCCAAGTCCCTCATAATGAATTCTAACACGCAGGTCGGAACATTAACTGTAGGGAATATTTTTGGGGAGTTGTCGATGAATGAGGTAGAGTTGTGCTCGTTACCGGAAAAACAATTGAGATTGAATATTTTTAGGAACTACGATTGCTTCATATAGTAATTTTTCTCTGAAATCATTTTTGAGAAATAATGAACGGCATTTCACACAAAACGTGACTTCGTAACAAATTGTCAACTGATGATCTACTCAAATATATGGTTATAATATTCTCCACTTTACTCAATTTCATTCAAACCCTGACCTCGCGAAGAATTCCCAAGTCAACAATAACAAACTTCTACTCAAAACCCCAAGAAGATAAACTTTTCATTCCGGAATAAATAAACTTCTAAATTGCAAAGGAGAAGAACAATTGCCACTCCTCAATGCCGACCACAACTCTTCCTCCATCAAAGCCGCATAATAAATTCCAACAGTCTCAGAAATCTTCAAAGATCCCCCATCTCATCATCACTCCATCCCCTCAAAAAGAATCATAACATGCCGCAGATCTCTCCCATTTCTTTCTCGGAAAAGAAAGGCTGCATGCCGAGAATCACCATAGTAACTCCAACAGTCAGAGTAAGCAGAGTGACTATTATGTAAAATAAAATATATAAGGCAGAACAGAAATGGAAAAAAGAACGACCGAAGGGGGGGAGACCACGTTTACGAGCTAGTACAACCTGAACAGGTGGAATAAAACGAGTGAAAGGGCTTCCATAAACGAGAAGAAACTTGGAAAAGCCTATTTTACTCCCTTTACTGTGTTAGAACTCACTGTCGCTTTGTTACTTTTTCACTCAACCAACCCACCCCCTCCCAGTGGCCCCTTTCTCTCGTTTTTATATGCTATTTCGTGTTGATGGTGTGTACTCTGTTTGGCGACTACGCGCAACAAGCCACAATCACGGATAAAAATGTTTATCCTCATTATTTTTTTGTCACTCTCTCTACTTCATGTTTCTTCTTTTTTATTCACTCTCTCTTCGGGTTTAACGGGAATTTTTACGGTGGATTAGCGCTGGGCTTGTTACCACATTAGCAAAACACAGTTGAGAATGTTTTGTGACATTTTTAACGAGCGACTTTTTCACTGGATTTTGTAGAATCTCGGCAATGAAACGGCATAAGTTAATGAGAAAATCAATAGAACGTGCGAATTTCAGAATAATTATTCAGTGAAAATGAGGAAAATTCGGGTGAATATATTCTTGAATCTCAAATTGATTGAAATATCGACTCAATTTTACACCGAATATTTATGTTTAGTTAGAAGTTTAATTAATTTGGGAAATTTTCGTCTTATTTTTAGGAAGTTTACTAGCCTTTCCCGGTTAAATGTCCCTCTGTTGAAAATTTCTATTCAATTGTCTATAAATTTTCTTTTTTTCAAATTACATTTCCACTGAAACTTTAGGAAATCTCATTAAGTAATGACAATTTAATGAAAGGAATTGATGGAATTAGTCAGTAAATTTAGTTCAATTATCTGCTTCCACTGCATCTCTACTTCACACTCATAAATTCACTCAAATATTCGGTTGAAACTTTGAATTTCATAACCCCCTCGCCCCCAAATAAAAATCCAATGTCGCTTTGCGAAAATACTGTCCAAACTATCTAAGAAATTTCACTTTTTTTCAACGCTGCAGTTGGTTTTTAGCGAGAAATTCGATGCCATTGAGACATGGGATATAGCATCACTCCAGGAGCATCAGTATCTCAACGGGCGGACCGGAGGGATGAGGCGTCAGGGGAAAAAGCACTGAGACTGATTCTGATAAATAAATGTCAAGGCCATTATTCCCAGTCACGCAGTGTCGAAAAAACGAGAGTTTGGGCTCCAGTCATTAGAGATAATTTTTTTTCATGAGAGAGGACTTCTCACGGGCATGTCGGGGTTTTACTGTCATTTATTCACCGGCGGAGGACACCCCTTGATTTATTCCATTTGAATTTTCCGGCGGATGAACGAAATTGAGGGGAGAATTGTAAAAATTCAAATCTCCGAATTTAAGATTTTTTAAGAGTGAAAGGATTTCCGTGATTTTTTAGGAATAATCGGTGAAACTGAAAAATGTTTCCTTATTTCTCATCATTTTTGTAGGGAAGGTTGGGGTAAAACGGACACTTTAGATTTTTTTTAATTATTCATAACTCAGAAACAAATTGATCAATTGAGCTCAGTTTAGGCTCGTCACAAAGGGAAAAAATTGTTCTTTGTATTAAAAAAAAATTATTAAATTTTATCAACATTTCAACCCCTCATTAACATTTAAAAAAAGTCAAAAGTGTCCGTTTTACCTCAACCTCCCCTAGATAATTCGGAATAATAACATGTGATTCCGCGCTGCTAGATGTATTATGTACCAAGACGCCAATATCTTACCTCTTATTTTATGAATGAATGAACGTGTAGCAATTTATCTTTATTCATTGAATAAGAGACAAATGAGACCTCTGAGATCCTATATTTCTTCATCCGATGAACGTAAGGGGAGGTCTTCTTGATATTTGTAAGACCCTTGGTCATTCCGGCAATCTTGATATCTAATATTGATTATTCTTTTGCTAGGAGCGAAGTCTTGAGAGGAATAATCTAAACTAAATACAAAAGCACGGGGAAAATGATGATGATGGTTCGAGTGAGGACTCTTTTCTCCCCTTTCTCAAGACGTTCAACCAAAACAGTCTTAAAAATATCGTAATTGAGATTTTTGCGACTTAATTCAATCCTTTTCTTCGCAAATGTCGCGGATCGTCTTGGTGTGGGCCGAAACAATGGGCCAGGCCCTATTTTTCCGCGGGTCCTGTTAAATCGAACCGATTTCCATAATTTCCCAAGACCAATCAATCGAGAATAGTCGATAAACCTGAAAGGCATTCTTTCCATCGCATTTGAATAATTCAGAATAATTCAGAATGTAAATTTCAATAATCACGGAATTTATATCCACCACTGTTCCCTCGACCGCTCATTTCGCTCTATTTTGCAATAAAAATTTATCTTATTCCCTTCCTGCATAACCCATTGAATATTTCACACTGGACTGAATAGAGAGTGAATTTCCAGATTGACCATTTTCGATTTTCCTCCATTGTTTCATTGAAACTGTGGAATTCAGTTGGAACCTGGATTTCTCGTTTCAAACTCCCCCCCCCCTCCCGCACCCGCTGCGGCTTGATAAAGTGCAAGCTTCATCCGACTCTATCCTTCAACAGAGACAGAGTCGCCATCGATTGAGGAAGCAGTTCGTACTTGTGACATGATTATAATTGCTATTGTCTCAAAAATTACCATTCGCCTACACCTGCGCTATCCCGCAAACCAATGACCCACAAAAACATTTCAATCAGCACGCGACAGGCTTTTCTCTCCTCCCCAATCTATTGGTATGTTTTCATTTAATCTTAGTAATTGAATTAAACGTAAATAACAAATTCATGAAAAAATTCAACAACATAAAACTAACAGACCTGAACAGAGTTAAAGTTGACGCACCAGTAGCTTATTGACTCACGCTATTCATAAATTCAATTCATTTAATCTTAGTAATTAAATTGAATGTGAATAACAAATATATGCGAAAGTTCAACAACATTAAAACAACAGACCTTAATAGAGTTCTCCCAAATTCATTTATTAATTCAGTTGTTTTGAAAATAAATCCTCAGCGCAATTAATTCGTTGCGTTGGAATTAAATTAATTCGGATCAGAATTCAGAACCGTAAAACATTTAAACGGCGACAAAATCACCATCGATTGAGGATGTACTTGTGACACGATTATAATTGCTATTGTCTCAACAATTACTCGCCTACACCCGTGCTACCCATGACC